ATTTTCTTCCTTAGATATTGGGAATTCCTCTGTGGTAGGGATGGATGACCTTGGTGTAATTCTGTAGACACTTGGTGTTCATATTTTTATAGGTTCTCAGTGTACCCTGTTACCTAAGCTTGTTTTAACTCCATGAAGTTTGCCAGTTACTAAAGTGTGTTTTACATAGAGAAAGAGTTTATCACAAGGTAGTTGAGCATCTGACCTTTTTATCTTATCCAGACTGCTTGTATTAGGGCGGTAACAATCTGCTCAGTGGTTTGTTCTACATATCACCCACATGTAATTCTAGCACCCTTAATCCTAATGTTGAACTATGAGGCAATCACAAACTCTATATTCAGGTACATCAAAAAACAAAGCAAAACAAAACAAAACAAAACAAAACAAACACCCCACATCACTTAAAAGTGCATGAGCCTTTGGAAGGGGCACATATAGACACAAACCATAACAAAGGCCCAGGGGAGCGCTCATTCATAGTGTATGTTTAGCATGAGCTAGGCCCTGGGTTCAAGCATAAAGTACATTTTCAGGAGTTTACCCTTATGTAGACTGAGGTGTGTGATAGCTCAGTCTTTTTCCTTTTCCAAGACATCACCTTATCTGATTTTCATGATTTACTTAGTTAAGGAATGCTTCCTGCACTGGGCAGAAGTGGGCAGGTGGCTCCACTAATATTTTGAATTTCACAGAGCTGAAGACATGCATTTTTATTACTTTACAAACCAGTGAATAATTTAAAAGTTTAATTGTAAACAAAAAGGGTAAACAGGATCCGACCTTCTTAAGTTCGGCCTATACATCAATCCAGAATGTGACTATCTCCATCTCCAAAGCCTGCAGAGTGTGCACTCTCATGGATCTCTCAGGGTCAGGTACAACCCGAAATCAAGGCCAGAACTATGGCAGCAGGCAACAATGTGCCCAGAAATGTCTGGAGTCTCAGGGTCATCTGGCTTCAGGTTATCAAAAATGGTAACATTAACTTGCTTTTATTTCCCTAGAAAATGAGCATTGATAAAACATTTTCATGAAGTCAACAGCCACTTACAAAGAACTGGATCAAATGTTGTGCTCAGGAAAGATTGTTTCCGGGAGAGCATCAGCCATGGCAATAAAACCTTATAGTAAACTGCATTCACTATAAAAAGCCCACCTGACCATGGCAAGTCCAGATATTTTAATACAGTAGAAATATGAAAAAAATTACTTCCTTAAAATTTCCTTAGTGTTATTAGTAGTAACCTACTCATTCCTTGAAGAATGTGATTTGTAAAAATTTTTTCTCATACCTTGTCTCTCAGGAAAAGAGACTTTTATAGCCTTCCAATTTAGTCTGCTTACAGAAACATCCCTTGCTAAACTGGTTAGGATCAATATGAGCATTCTTACAACTCTCAGGACTGTCCATATCATTTATGCATTCATAATTAAATAAATATTCCAACACATGGAACCCATGGAGGAAGGACATGAGTCAAAGCTCTAGTAGAAAGCAATGCCATTCTCAACCTTCTACTCCACACACTGTTACATAAGGTCAGTTTGCCTCTCCATTTATCACTGTTAGCTTAAGCTATGAACCTGAGTGTGGACAGGTGCCCTCTCTCCTAGGTACTGATATTGGCCAAATGGTTGCATGTCTTTGGAAAAAAAACACATGAACCCATCCTGAATAATCCTGCATGCTATGTTCAAGGATCTGTGTGTGAAAGGCATTTAGATTTATCTGAATCACAGGACTCTGGTTCACTTATGTAGATGTGTGCTAAGACCTGGGCAATGGGTTGAAACTTTAAAGGCCAGCCTCAGGAATCAACTTTTCAACTCTCAGTTGTTCTTGGTTCATAGTGTGTCTCAGACACAAAGCCTAATGAATGGCTGTTTTATGATCCTACTGAATAAGGCAGTTGATCTGCGCATTTCCTGTATCTGTCTTTCCCAGAATCATCAGTGAGTTGATTCTGCCAATGCTGTCTCGGTCCTGCAGGACTGAAGAGTAGCACTGATGGAACTCTTCTGCTTTCCTGGCCACTGCCTTCTCTTGGGCTCTATTTTTACTCATTAATCACTATTTCAGTTTCTTTTTTTTATTTATTTCTCTTCTCTCTAAATAAAGCGTGTCAAGAAAGACTAAGAGACATTTCTTCAGTGAATAATCAGCTATGCTGACTTAGCGGTTTATGAGTTCCTTCACTGAGAACACAGTAGCAGGGCTCCACAGATAAGCAAGCCTGGCTATTCATATCTAGCCAAGTGTAGTAGTCTATGTGCTTATGGATGTGTTCACACACTTCACAAGGGAAAAGCTTTCCTCATATATCTAAGCTACATTTAACTCTCATGCTACTAAATCTGAGGATGAGAATGGAGCTTCAATAGTCACTTTGTTTCCATTTGTGTCATATCACTGTGATCTAGTATTTTATTTGTGTTTATGAATAACAGAATTGGTATGGATAGATTTTTAAGCAATATTCTAAGGATTAGTTTTATAAATCTAAGAATTTAACTGAAGACATAACTATAATGTTTCACATTTAATAAACCCAGTCTGTAAAACTTGCCAAAACAATGGAATTAACATGAAATGCATTGCTTTCTCTATATGTATCTTAAGCTGGTAATAGTTACAAGATGTGCAAAATTAGTGCAATTTCCTAGTACTGACTTATTATCCTGAGCTCTGGTTGTAATGTCTAGAAATCATCGGTGATTCCATTGTCACTTTCTCTGCAAAAGTCTGTGTTTCCAAAGTGATTGTTGGTCAGATGGACCACACAGTGCTTCCATCCTGAGTGGAAGAAGCAGGGATTCAGCTCTGGAAGAGCTCCTCAGGCGTGAGTGTACTCCTTGCCATGGACCCAAGTTTTTTCTGTTTTCTAAACCACTGGGAAGTTCCTGTAGCAGCTCCCTCTCCACAGAGCACTACACAGGTTGTTTGCATATCTCCTTGTCATCTGTCCAGAACACATCTGGGTCATTTGGAACAAGAAAAGCAAGAAAGATTATCATCATTCGATGTTAAATGACCTGCACATCCCTATGGTAAAAGACCGTGAAATTATTGAGAGGTATGGAACCATCATGGGATGGGGTCTAGAGGAGGGAGGTTAGGTTATTGTGCATTCTCTCAATGGCAGTATTGAGACCTTGTTTTATTCTCCTCTTTGCTTCCAGTTATTATGAGGTGGTTAGTGTTGCTGTGCCACATGCTCCTTGGCATAGTATTTTGTCTTGCTATGAGTGCCATGCAAGAAAGCCAAGTTTTGTGATCATAATGCAAATTATGCCTTTCCTCCTTTTAAATTGATTATAGTTGATACTTTGTCACAATAATGGAAAATGGAGTCACATGGGGATCTTTCCTGCCTCTATTCTAGTGACATGTCTATGCTTTTATTCTTCTGAACTTTTCTTTATGAGGTAGGAAATTTTGTCTTATCCAATAACCCTCCCATAAATGTGCAGTTGTCAGAGTTTTCAAAACACATAGTGTTGTCTTTGCTCACTGCTGACTGGAGGAAATGAAGAGGGGATTACCTTGTCACAGTGAATGCCCTTGTTTTTCTCTACCATTTCTGATGCCGATGAGTTCAGCTGCCACCGAATTTTTCCTTGGTTCTTTGTTTACTCTTTAACTACTGAAAAACAGTTGTGTTGTGCTTCTGTTCTCCATCACATTCAGGCAGTATCATGCAGCTTACCTGCCTCGGTGCCTGTAGTGGGGGTCAGAAATTTTATATTGGCAGGTGGTGAGGGAAGAAAGGGGCAATCTGGAGGTCTTCAGGAGGTTGGAGGAAACCAATGTCCTGTGCAAGGGAGAGAAAGAAAGCCGGAAGATTCTTAGTTGAAGGTGAAATTGTTCATTTCAGTCTTCATGGGACCACAGATAGATTTATTCTGCTTTAGATGCACAGAAATTGCTGCTCTAAATCATTCTGAATATTTACATTAACATTGCACAATTTGCATGCAAAAACATTTCTAAATGTCTTAAATGCTATAAATATATTAATCATGATCCTGATGTATGCCAAATGTTATTAATTCAAAAAATCTGAATTATAGAAGTAATGAAATGGGAGATTTGCCTTTACAAAGACTATTTTATGTGAATCTGAGTGCATATGGGTGTGTGTATGTGTCTTTGTAAAAAATGATGAATAAATATGACTACAGTATTGAACATTTAAGGAACAATGACATCTTGAGATTAATAGGTTCTCATAATTTCCATAATGAAATTTGTAAACCTTGCATGTGCCTGTGTACAAATTGAGTTTTGAAGAGTTTAAAGAATATTAATGATTAAGAAATTTTGGGCTGGGGAGATAGCTCAGTAGAATAAGCACCTACCTGGCAAGCACAGGGTCCTGAGTTCATTCAATGCCCAGTAAAAAAAAAAAAAAAAAGGAAATTTCATGCTACTTTAGATTCTCTTTTTTCTTTTTTTTTTTTTTGTATGTGAGTTAGAATTTTAAAAGTTATTTGCATTTTCCTAGTTCCTTATTATTTCTGTCATATCACTGTCAACTTCTTATCGTCTTGTTTTGAACTTTTGTATTATTTTTATGTTTTTCTAGTCTTCCACATAAAAAGGGTAAAATTTTATGCACTCCAAACTCAGATACTCAGATTAAAATACATAATGAAGGCATGAAGTGAAAAAAGATTTAAATCAATATATTTTTGTTTTTGTTTTATGTTTTCTTCATCAACAATTGCAACAGATCCTGGGCTCCTGTGTGTGAGACTGACAGTACTTGGATGAAACACAGCTGAGGTGTCAGGAAAATACAAGGATCTTGTGAAGACTGTGATGCTCCAACTCATTTGCAAATGTCGATTTTTTAGGTGGCAATCTGGGTGAGAATTTTCATTTAACAGCAATATGATTTGAAGTTTTAAGATTTAGATACACATATAATTTTAAATGAATGCATTAACCTATCTTTGGCATTGATATTGCACACTGAACCAGTCTATTATCAATAATGGGTAGTGTCACACTGAACATATTCACTATTGTTTTTAGTGTGGAGTTCATAATAGGAAATTTAGGAAATGGATTCATAGTCCTGGTGAACTCGCTAGACCTGATCAACAGGAAGAAGACCTCTGTGGCTGATCGCCTGCTCACTGCTCTGGCAGTCTCCAGGATTGGTCTGCTCTGGTTATTATTTGCATATTGGTGGAGGTATATGTTTTATTCAACTTTCTGGATACAAGTAACAATGATAAGAATAATATACATTATTTGGATTGTGTCTTGTCATTTTAGCATGTGGCTTGCCACATGCCTCAGCATCTTTTATTGTCTCAAGATAGCTATTTTTTCCAACTCTATTTTTCTTTATTTTAAGTGGAGAGTTAAAAAGGTCATTTCTGTGATGTTGCTGGTGTCTCTCGTACTCTTGCTTTTACAACTTTTGCTGACAAATTCTTATTTAGATGTTGTTATTGCTGAGTATAAAGGAAACATATCTGACATCTTCAATTTACATAAATGTGTTGAGGTTTTCAGACCTCTTTTACTCTGCAATGCTGCATTCACATTCATAGCCTTTGCTCTATCCCTGTCAATTTTTCTCCTACTCATCTTCTCCCTGTGGAAACATCTGAAAAAAATGCATCACAATGTTAAAGTGTCCAGAGATGTAAGCACCACAGCTCACATAAAGGCCTTGCAAGGTGTGGTTGCCTTTCTCATACTGTACACAATTTTTTTTCTGTCAATTTTTTTACAACTTTGGAGATTTAAGTTTTCAAACAGTCTCTATTTTTACTTTTGTGAGATTGGTGAAATTTCTTTTCCTGCATTCCACTCATTTGTCCTAATCCTGGGAAATAGTAAACTGAAACAGGCCTATCTTTCATTGCTGATGTGGCTGAAGCATTGGTCCGAAGATATTGAACCTTCAGGTGCATAGAGCATTTGGAGATTGTGCCGCATATTCTAAGAAGAAAATGAGTTCAATAAATTTTTTTATAATTTTGTACTTCTGAAATGTTCTAATTTATGCAACTTTTAATATTTTGCAGAAGCATTCTTAGTGTAAACTCTATCCAAAGACATTACAATCTGAACTGTACAAATGCAGATATATATACTTATTTATATATTTCTATACATAGCATGTCAGTGTACATCTTGTTATTGTAAGAAAACTTGATGAGAACAAAAATTAAATTCTGCCAAATGTTAATGTTATGAATTTAAACAGTAAGCCTACAAATGGGTAATAGATATGTATGTATATGAACTAGTTGCTAAGAAATAGATATTTATAATTTTATATGTACGAAATGTTTTTATTATATGGGTCTAAAATACAGCATAAATATTTAGAGTAAAATAAAGATTGTTAAAAATTCAATATACCAAATTTATTGTCTGTATGCAAAATATACCAAGCTGACTTACATGAACATAAAAAATTTCTCATAATCATGAGATGGTATTATTCCAAATTCTTATATCACATTAGTTTAAAATTAAGAATTCTTTTAATGCACTGTCATCATTAATTTATATTTCACAATAGAAAATACTCGTATTTTTCATTATAATTTTATATCTATACCAGAGTTTATTTTATTCTCAGTATACCAGAATATTAATAGAAAATACTGTATTATCCATCTGGTGAGAGAAACCAAAGTGTAAATATAGTCCAAAATGTATAATAGATATTGTGAAATAGGAAGAAAATGTTCAAATGGCAGGGGACCTAGGTGTAGTAGAGAGCGATAGGAAGGAAGGAAAAAAAGAAATGATAAGAAAATAGCAAAAATGGAAACATAGCTTTTATAAACAAGGAAGACAAATGTGTTGAAAGGAGTGGAGTGGAGTGGGACAAAAATGAATCAAGTTGTGTCACTATAGGTACAAATTTCCTAGGATGAATGTGATCATAGTATATACCTAAAATGTACCAATAATCATAAATAATTTTAAAAAGAATACAAAAAGATGATTATAATAGCCTTGATTGAAAATTAACTGGGAATGGAATTTTTTAATGCTTTTTGTCACTATTGAGCTGTATGTTCCCCAGTTGGAAACAATCAAGTGGTCATAAGAAAAAATATTATGGTAACTTATGAATGGCTAGCATTATAATTAAGGTAAAGCTTGTTTTGTTTATGTATTAAAAGTTTTGACTCTATGGATGAAAAGGAAGATAAATATAAATTAAATGAATTTTGCCTATGAAATAGGTGAAATATTTAGAATGAGTTAGGTTAAAATGTGTGATGAAGAGGAGAATAAAGGCCTGTGTCCTGTGTGTAGTGGTGTTAAGTCTTCAATAAAATAGTATCCTCCATATTGTTATGAATAAAACATTCTCTATCAGGATTTAATTGACCAAAGAAACCCTTTCACACTGCTAGTATTGAGTTGGGAATAGAATTTCTTCTTTTTTAATTAATTAATTGATTTATAGTTTATTTATTTTTCAATGTATTTGGTACAGCATCTCACTACACAGCTGAGTAGACTTTCTTCTAATGTAGTTCATTATCTCAATTTTTTGTTGGAAATATTTGTATGTCTTTTCTGAAGTACTTTTTTGGGACACTTCTTGAGAAACATTTTCACTGTAGAAGAAAATGTGGACCTTTTTTATGTCGTCACTGACAATGTTTGTTGCAGCATTTGTTGTCAGGTCACCTGCGTGTCTTAGATCTTCTAGTGCTCACATATGTGTAATGTTATTTTCCACTTGAGAAGACTAAATCTGCTCAGCGTCAAGTACTTATCTAGCAGTGCATGCAGGTTTCAACAGGGAGCTTTAGTAATAGCACCCTGCAGACACAGGATGTGATCGATCCAAATTAACATGAAATGCGAATAGAAAGAGGCTACTCAGGGCTACACCAAAAGCCTATGTTAAAATCCTAATTGAGCTGCCACACTCTGGGAAACCCCAGACCCAGTCCTAACCCAGGTCCAGTGAGTGTGTGGGAGAGCTTCCAGCTACCCTGCACTGGCGGGACCTACTACTGGTCCCAGCCCAGGTGCAGCATGCGTGAGACCCTCTTCCACCCACTTGGAACGCCCCCCACCACTCTGCAGCACCACATCAACCTCGCCATGTTCTGGGAACCTCAAGACCCAGAACTAGCCCAGGTCCGGTGAGTGTGTGGGAGAGCTTCCGGCTACTCTGTGCTGGCCAGAATTATTTATGATCTCAGTCCAGGCGCAGCATGGGTGAGACCCCCTTCCACCCACTTGGGACACCCCCCAATAATCTGCAGCACCTCCCATACCCTGCCCGTTGAGTAGGAATTTCGGCCGCATTCTAGGAACGCACAGACCCAGTCCTAGCCCAGACCCAGTGAGTGTGTGGGAGAGCTTCCTGCTACCCTGTGCAGGTGGGACCTATTACTGCTCAAAGCCCAGGCACAGCTTGGGTGAAACTCTCTTCCACTCCCTTGGGACGCCCTCCCAACACTCCACAGCACCACCCCAAACCTGCTCGCCGAGTAGGAATTTCTGCCCCATTCTGGAAACCACCAGACCCAGTCATAGCCCAGGTCTGGTGAGTGTGTGGGAGATCTGCCTCTCCCCCCTACTCCACCTTGTCCCCTACAGGCTCAGCTCAGGCCTGGTATACAGGCCTGGGGTGAAATCCTGCAGCTGCAATCCCTGCAGAGAGTGTAGAGGATAGAACCAACCAGCGAGTCCAGGAGTAGAAAATCTTGCCAGAGAGGCATAACAGGTTCACACTCAAGGGCAGAAACAGGAAGGAGCTGAGCACAGCAGCCTGACACAAGTCAGGCACAGCTGGATAAATCCAAACATTGTACATCTGCACCTGAACTTCAGTACATGCTAAGGTTATAACTACAACGAAGATCTACAACAAAGGTCAGAAGACAGTGCTACACAAAATGACAAGAAGGAACAAAATGCAACCTCAGAACCCAAGCCCAAGCATAACAAGTGCAGAGGACACTAACACAGAACAAATTGGGAATCACACAGCTGAAAGCAATGAAGCAACAGCTTCTGAAATAAAAAAAAAAAAAGCTGCAGAAAGGTGTAGAGGAACACAGATTGAAATAAAAAAAGAAATTCCTGAATTAATAACATCTGCAGTAAAGAATCAAATGCAGAAGCATATGGAGGAAACCCAATGCCCACCCAGAACAAGCGCGGAGGACACTAGCTCAGCTCAAATGCATGAATTAATAGCGTCGATAGTAAATAAGCAACAGCAGAAAGATATAGAGGAACTCAGAGTGCAATTCTTTTCTGAAGTAAAAGAAGAATTCTCAGAACTCATAGCATCTGAAGTAAAGAATCAACTACAGAAACATAGGGAGGAAACACAATCTGAAAAAAAACAACAGTGCAGTAAAAGAATTTATAATTGCTTCTAAAGAAGACATTGAGAAAAAGATAGAGGAGAATAGAAAAATGACAGATTCCTTGAATGAGCAATACAGGAAAGAAATAGATCACATGAAGCAGAGTCAAAGAGATATACAGGAAATTAAAATCTAAATCACAAGCTTGCAAAACCGTTTAAGTGAAAGTGAAGACAGTTTCAGATCTTGAAGATGCTGGTGCAGCTAGTGAAGAGGTAAGAAAGGATCTTTGAAAAACAACGAGGATGCAGGAAAAAAATAATCCATCACCTGAAAGATGATGCAAAGATGAACAATGTGAGACTAATAGGCATCAATGAGAAAGAAGGAGTCAATACAAATGACATTAAAAAATATGGGCAGAAGTAATAGCAGAAAACATCCCAAATATGAGAAAACAATCTGACATTCAGGTAACCTAAACATACAGAATGCCAAGTATCCTCAACCCAATGAAAAACACACATGAGACAAATAACAGTCAAGATTCCAGAAATTCAGCACAAGAATAATATACTGAAAGCAGCTAGAGAAAAGAAGCAGATCACATTCAAAGGAAAACCCATCAGAATTATGGTCAACTTCACTTCACAAACCATGAAAGCAAGAAGAGCATGGAGCAGAGTACGTCAAGTCCTCTATGAAAACAAATTCCAGCCCAGACTACTGTACACTGCAAAACTCTCTTTCAAGTTTGATGGAGAAGTGAAATACTTCCATGACAAAGAACAGCTAAAGAATTTCATCATGACAAAGCCAACCCTATACAGGCTACCGAAAGATGTTCTAGAGAGTAACCAAAATGATCAGAACTACATGAATGAGATCAGAGGCAACCAAGTAAATAGGGCAAGCAATTAAACACAGGAGAAAAAGGAGTAAACGACAACAGGTAAATAACATGGCAACCGTAAGTCAATACATCTCAATTCTAACCATCAATGTAAATGGACTCAATTCACCAATTAAGAGAAATAGACTGGCATAGTGGATTAGGAAACAAAATCCAAGAATATGCTGTATACAAGAAGCACATTTAACTCATAAAGACATTCATAGGCTGAAAGTCAAAGGATGGAACACCATACTACATGCCCCAGCACCTCAGCAAAATCAGGGGTAGCAATTCTATTCTCATACAGTCTCAACTTCAAACCAACGATGATCAAACAAAATAAAGAAGGCCACTATATACTGGTTAGGGGAAAAATTCGAGAGGAAGTGGTAACACTCATAAATATACATGCACCAAACATGGGATCACACAAGTATACAAAGCAAATCTTAATTGACATGAAAAATCTAATATCCAATAAAACAATTTTAACAGGAGATCTTAACACCCCCTTATCTCCAAAAGATAGGTCAACCATACAAAAAGTAAGGAAAGAAATAACAGAACTGAACCAGAGCTTGAAACAAATGGACTTGGAGGACATATACAGAGTGTTCCACCCAAACAGAGCTGAATACACATTTTTCTCAGCTGCACATGGGTCATTTTCTAAAATAGGCAACATACTGGACCACAGGTCATGCTTAAGTATATGTA